AAAAGCGTCTCTCGGAGGAAGGACGCGTGTTTCCATCGAACGGGTCCAACTAGGCCAGGCTCGTCTCCGGAGCCTCACGTTCGCCCCGAAGCCAACTGGCCGCTCGGCACTCGGCGAAGCCTGCTTGCCCTACCTGCCAACAGGCAACCAGGTTTCCGCTTTCGCTCGGAGGGACGGAGCGGTCCAACGGGCTGCGCGTCTCCTGATGAATTACGCGACGACGGTCTGCCCCAGGAGGAAGCTAGGTTCTCTCTCTTTTTTTTTTCTTCTCTTTAACGGTAACCTTTAAAGGTGTACTCCGCCGATTTTTGAGCTACCTCAACTAACTATATTTTCTGACTCCCAGGCCTTTACCCTTTCTGGAATGCTATTTAATATCGTGAAATTCATAATAGTTATTGCGAAATCGGCAAATGAAAATGATGCAAAAACAGACATTCAAATATACCCGCCCTTTTCAGGGCCGTGACGTCAGTGGAAGTTCAGCTTGCCAGTCGGGCGAGTAGTCTAAAAAATAGAATATACCAATTATTTGTTCCGTGCTGGAGCGCGGGGACTGGAGCGAGCTTCCAAGGTATTCATTTGACACCATGAAACTGCTTCAAATCAGTTGGGAACAAATTCTACAGTCCAAAGAGTGAACCCCTGCACTTCCAATGACGTCACTTTTTCATTGTTGCCAGTAGAGACTTTCAGTTTGAAAAATACGGTGAGGACCAAAATTGTAAATTCAATAACTTCGTGAAAAAAAGTTATTTTGACCTAATATTTGGGATACTATTTTGGCGATGTTGTTTGGCGAGTTTAGCAAAATTTAAAGCAAATCGGGGACCATAAAGAAATCGGCGGAGTACACCTTTAGGCCTCAGTCACACACTGCTCATACATAATACAAAAGACACTGTCTTTGCTGCAGACAAACTTTGATGTTCGAAGTATGTTTGCACTATGCTTCAAAAATATCTGCAGGGTTTGGCATGACCTTGTGTAACAGGACCTCTATACAAGGAAGAAACACGCTTCAACGGTGTATGTAGTCTGTCTTTTGCGTAATGTATGAGCCGTGTGACCAAGGCGTTAGTGAGACGACACGCTTCATCTGAGGAACAAAATTAAAAGAAAACGGGACGAGACGGTCACTGGCAGTGTCGCATCAGTTCAAAGTTAACATAGCAGGGCCGAGCATTCATTAGTTCCTGGACGCCGGTTATCTGACCAGATCTGGCTTTCCAGAGATTCCCAGAAAGAGTATTCTCCAATAGAAAAATAGAAGATGAGCGTTGCGAGTGGGGACACCAAGCCAAATTTGTGTTGCAGGACGTCAAGAATGAGACTCGCCTTTCTTGCATTCGGCCATCGAGAGTCGAGTGCCATGTCACCCGAGACAGTTGTGTACAAGGTTGTCTCGAATAAACTCAAACTCAGGACAGGTGTGTTCTTCTTTGGGACACTATTTAAGAGCTGCTTGACCACTCCCGTTTGTCGCCATTCGCTTTCGACCACGATGCGATGTGCACACACTTCGCCGCCAACACGAAACGATCTCGGCGAGGAGACGCTCCAGAACTTTTTTTTTGGGAGGGGGGGGGGGGGGGGGGGGCGCAGCGAAGAACTGGCAGCGTGCAAGCATCGCTATATATCCTAGCTCGTTGCATGAAGTCGTGGCGTAAGCGATGCAAGAAGACATTCCCGTGAACGCGGCGGCGGCGTGGGCAACACGCATGCCTGCCTATCCTCGAAGCAAAGTTCTGACATCAGCTGGACAAGCTGAATCCCGCCTCCCCCCGGGATCAGCCACTACCCAGTACTACCTAGAAGACAAGGCCTGCGCGTGACGTTATTGACGGCGTACCCCCGTCCCGTCCCAAGGAGAAAACACGCTAAAACTCAACCAACAGACGCGTCTCTCTTGGCGACGCTGCGCTCTAGCGTCGCATTCGTTGTGAAAAGCTGCAAGACGCGCTGGAGGGCGATGCTGACGTAGGCGTCGCGACGTGGATCTACATCTGATGACGTATGCGGGGGAAAGCCTCGCGGCCTTGTCTTCTGGTGGTATTGGATCGGCTTTCCTCGACACCGGCGTCGGATCCCCTGGAAACCAGACGCGAACTCCTCGGAGCTATCGGCGCCTCATCTCTCCGATGCTTGGCTCGCCGCTGCCGCCGCGAGACGGACGGACGGACGGTGCTGCGTCGGGCCTGTCTCGAGAGTACCGGACATCAGGGCGTGTTTGGAAAGCGTCCAAGCCGGCTAGCCCTGATGTGTTAAGCCCCGAGCGAACGCTCGCTCGCTCGCTCGCTGGCCCGTCCCTCTAGCTCAAAAGGCCAGCGCTGCTTTCTTCTCTGGCAACGGAGGATAGGAAAGGGGAAAGAAATATAAAAAGAAAACTTGTTTGGCATCCCCAATGCAGACAAGTTACTCCGGGGTCTCCGTTGGCCGACCCGTTGCTGCGGGCGGCCCAGAGCGATTCATTACAAGTTTGCACGTTTTCTTTTTAACGCGCGTGTACAACGAAATCAACCGCGGTGACGGTTTATATTTGGTTGCTTTTTACTGTGTCGTTCGTACGTTAGTGTTCACTATTTTCGCCTTTAATTAGCTAACATAAAAAAAATTAAAGCGAAACAAAAAAACCTGTCGTATGCGGAAATTAATAATAATAAAACCCGATTTTGGCAAACAATATACCCTTTTCGAAAGTTCATCGTGCAAAATTGGCGGTCGCTATTTCTGGGGCACGAACAGCGCGATTGGATCTTACTACTCGCTGAACGCTGATGCAATCCTCGTATCCAATACATGCTCAAAATGCGTGAAAAAATAATGAAAAAGAAATGGCGGATTTGGATAATTGGCGCAGCATCTACTAGGTGGCGCACACTCTTGAAAAGGGTCTCCAAGAACGGAAGGCGAAAAGCGCATTCAGCCACAGATAATGAAGACAACAAAAACAAACTAAACAGCAAAAAAAAAAAGGGCTATTATCTAATAAGAGTTGGGAAACCTTATAGTAGAGGAAGCGTGGCTTCTTTCCGGTCTAGCCTTAAGAAAACAACTAAACCATATCTCGTACAGAGGTCATCAGTCGATGCCCAGGAAAGCAACACCTCCCGAGCTCGTAGTCGGCGTACCTTCCAGGGCAGGTCTTCCGCCGGCGCGCGCGTCTCTCTACCCAGAAGCAGACCCATTATTCAGTCTTGGAAGCGTCCTGAAGCCGGGTACCTCGGCCGACAACAAAAACAGAGCGCTTTCAGCGCGTCAGAAGAGGAGGGGGCGTGCGAAGCCGCCGCCGCGTGGGGCAGGCGGCAAGCATGGCGTGTGAGGGCATCACCGTAGCTCCCCTCCAAACTCCCCCAGAGAAGAAAAGGACCCCTATCCTCCCCCAAAAACCTACACGTTACGAGCTATATTTATATGGCCACCGCTCGAGTTCAAAGGGGTTTCGGCCGGCGTCGCCTCCTGCCATCCAGACTCCAAGTCCAGGAAAAAAGAGTCCAGTCCAGGACAGGAGTTCTTTCTGCTGATCGGCTACTGCGGCCAGAGCGCGCGCTCTCTCTCTGCCGGCGGCCGTCCCAGTTCTTCCAAGCGGAGGGGAGTTGTGTTGTCTGCTGCTGTTTGGTTTTGAAGAAGCCGGCATCATGCTTTGCTTTGCTTTTACAAATGGACGTCGGCGCCGGCGGCGGCGGCACAGGCGGCACGCAGGAGCTTTCTGGGAGGATATAGCTTTGAGAAATGCGAAGAGGAGACCCATTGTCTGAGGCCGCCTCGAACTATCATGAGTGGCGTTGCTAGTAAATGCCAAGTTGGCGTGTACGCCGCTCTCTTGCGGACTGGGTGTGTGTTTTGTCTTTGGGGGTACTTGCGTGGCGTTTTGCTTTCGTCGGAAGTTCGCTGCACCTTTTTGTGCTGTTGGTCGGGGCATAGTCTGCTGGAAGGATGTGATGGTCTTTGTCGTTTGCCCTCGTCGGCACCCTTCCATTTTTACTCGCATTTCTTGCAACCAAATCGCGATAAAGATATAACAGCTTCCCCTCCAGTGCAATAAGAAATAACGTCAGCACACAGCGAAAGCCAAACTGAAGGGTAAGGCCGCCGAGGCAAGTGGCGCTTCTGTAGGTGGGATCATATACATGGAGAATACGGGTTTACAAATGTGTGTAAAAAAGTATGTGTATTGAAAATTTCCTTTTGTTCAAGGAAGCCCCACGCCGTCAAGCAACGACGATATACGCCCCATTGCATGCATAAAGTCACAGTTCGCGAAGACACGTATGCCTGGCACCCCATTGAAAAGAGGTGTGATGTCATTATCTAGTTCGATCAGCATGTGTGTATTATGCGCGTAGAGCTCATGGGATATGAAGCCGGTTGATACAATGAAGTATATGAACTATGTCGGACAAAGTATTTTCGGTCTGTAGTCTACCAAGGCGTATTAGCTACGTAATTGTATAAAAAAGAATGGACTCTGGCGCACCTGTAAAGCAAATAATCCCCAGGTCATGGTTCACGTATGGTATATTCCACGGTGAGTGATTGGTGAAGCATGCTTCATTTATAGACCATGTGGCATGCATCTGTTTTCTGTGATTGCTGAAATGTTTCGGGTTGCTGAAGGATGTCTTGTCACCGATTGATGAGGCATCTACACCCTCTGGTCGAGGAGGCGCCTATGACATATGGTTCAAGAAGCACCTAGGGTCTTTGGTCGATGAGACGCCTATGGCATATAACTGAGGAACCACCTAGGGCCTGTGGCCGATGAGACGCCTATGACATTTCAATAAAGAAGTATCTAGAGCCCGTCGTCGATGAGAAGCATGTGGCATAAAACTGCAGAAGCATCTAGGACCTTCAGTCGATGAGACGCCTAGCTAAAGAACCATATAGTGCCTGTGGTTGATTAGACACCTATGGTATGGGGTTGTCAGAGCATCTTGCGAGTGTAAGCAGGTCACAACAAGACGTCGGCCAGCGAGATGCAGAAAGCACTGACTGACCTGCGTCTGCGTGAGACCGAGGGATGCTGCGAGTTCGGCGCGCTCCGGGAGTGCCAGGTACTGCGTCCGCTGGAACCTCCTGTTGAGTTGCTGAAGCTGGAGGCTAGAGTAGATGGTGCGAGGCTTGCGCATCTTCTTTCCCTTGCCGTTCACCCGCAGCGTTTCTTCCAGCTGAGATTTGTCTGCAAGGGAGGAAGAGGAGGCTCTTTATTTACATTTGAAAACGAGCGTGTTGGTTAATAAATACAAATCTTGAAAGAATAAAACAGAGAGGACGAGGACGGGAACAGGACATCTTTCAAAGGACATCTTTTGAAAGATGTCCTGTTCCCGTCCTCGTCCTCTCTGTTTTATTTTTTCAAGATTTGTATCTCTTTATTTGTTTTTCTTATTTGTCCCTCGTTCGAGAAAGGAAGAAAGAGGGGCGGAGGAGGTGTCAACAAACTATCCTGATTCATTCGCGCCTCCAAAGGCATGTCCACGAAGCCGCGGTCAGACACATTGTTAATACATCGTACAATAGACAGTCTGCAATGCATACAGCGTCTGAGGCGTGTTTGTCCCTTGCAAGACGCCCCTGCCACCTTGGTCACACACGCAAACTGTCTGCAGACATGTTCGGGGCAAATGTCTGCAAGAAACGCCGTGCCTCTTGCGTGACGTATGGGCAGTGTGACCGCGACTTCAGATAACGTGCAAGGGCATCTACTTGCGACATACACTTTAACAAACAAACCAGTAGGATTTTTTTTTAGGCTCGTAGATGAAGCTTTACAAACGTCTCCAGGTAACCTTAGACCAGAGGTAGGAAACCTTGTGATCCAGCGGGCCGAGTCGCCAAAAAATGGGGACGAAACGGGACGGATCAAAAACCGGGAAAAAAACACACACAAAAACTGCATATTATTAAGAAAAAAAAAAAAACGCCTTTAAGCTTAAAAAAATATTTTCTCTTGTTTCTTTTTTTTTAATTTTAGGTGCAGATACCTTAATTAGGGTTGCTGAGCCTCCGTAGCCCTCAGTAGGAGTTTTGTTATTTAATATTGCTCGTCCAGACGTAAACATTCATATTGAAACTACTAAATGAGAACCGTAAATCTTTTTTTTTTCTTTTTTATGTGATCATTGGTTTCTTTGCAAACCCACCATTAACCTTACAACCTCTACACAAAAAAAACAAAAAAACTTTGCTGGTATACATAATATAAGAAACACAGCAATCATAACTGCTGCAAGCTTTCGTAGATTTGAAAACTGATTCAGGAAGGCCAGAGCAAAACTTAACGAAGTCGTTTGCCGGAAATACGGGCTACAAGCTATTATTTGTTTAAGGATCAGCTGATCAGCGAATTTTGTGTCGTAAGCCTTCTGAACATGGCCGAGGTAGGTCTGTCTTGACCAAAATTTTTAAAATGTGGATGTCGTTTGAGTATTTCGCAAATTTCAGAGAATCCGACTCCGACCCTGCAGTTCAGATACGCACAATCATGCTGATACTCCCTTTATAGACCAGTGTGCTTGTTACTCCTATAAAGATTCTCCACAAAGGAAGACTATATAGGTTATTTGTTGATATATATTCCTGGTGTTGGCAGACCCCGAGCTTAAGCTCGAAAACGTTTGCATCTAAGAGCATACTACCACGAGATTCTCTTTGCTTTGTAATTTTGCGTTCCGATCATTAATTGTGGTGCGTGATATCAGCCAACAACAACGCCAAGTCGCACATCCAGTCAGGGTCAGGAAGGCTTTGCGGTGATGTTTTTACGAAGCTATTAAAAACAGCAAAACTCGCTGTTGTGTGTAGTACTGGGCAGCCCCATAATAAGCCTCTGTGTGCGACAAATGGGCGATGCATGGTACAAGTCGTGATTCCGGACGACATTTAGGCCAGATACGACATACGTTAATTGTCCATTCCCAATGCATCACTTTGACGCACAACACTTCCGATAGATGAACGTGAATAATAAACAGAGCCCCAGGTGTGCCATTTGGAAAAAAAGATACGTTACATTACTCCACATTTGCCACCAATTATACTTTTCACACTACCGGTCCTTAAGTGTGTGTGCCTGTGTGTGTGTGTGTGGGGGGGGGGGGGGTTGTCTTTTGCAGGCCGCGGGTTGCCGACCCCTGCCTTAGACCATCCAACGTTTCATCGAGACACTTAGTCGAAAAGACAAAGTTTGTTGTCGAAACTACGGGCGTCAACAATAATGTAGGTCCAACTTCCAAGCAGCAAAACGAAGCAATTCACACTTTTCGCAGCAATAAAAAAAAAATCGCAGTCACAAAAATAAAAAAAAAAATAAAAATGGAGGAGAGGAGAGAGGAGGGGTGGGGCTTGCTCAAATCTCTCCATGGGTGTCAGATGATATCGCGATTCGGGGTCCTTCCCTCCCCAGAGGCGCGGTTGCAAGGTTCTTTGACAGAGAGACGGGGCATCGGTCATTCTCCAGTTTCACCATCGACAGCCCGAGTCGCCTGGAAATCCGATCTGTTGTCACGCCCTTCGTCCAAAAGCACTGTCAAAGGCTGCGCGGGTAGGGTTGCCGGGCCTGTGTATACCTGCGGTCGCGTGTCACGCGCCTAGCATTTAAATAGAAAATACCGTTGCGGAGCTTATATGTAAATATCTGGTGCGGACACGGAGTTGCTAGAAGCAATGGTCACTTATAATGGGGCCAGTGTCGTCGAGAAAGACGGCGCTGAGAAACTGTTTAAATAAACGAGGAGGATCGACTCGGCTTATTATCCCCTTTGTTTAGGCTTCAAAAGGGAGGCTTTCACAACTTTCACGAATCCGCTAAGTACCTAAGGCCGCCCGTCCACAGCAGAAGTTGAGTCAGTTGAAGAGAAACAGAAACTAAAAATTTAACATTATCAATGTTTTTAGTAATCAAAACTGTTTGATTTTTTTTATATAGCGCTTATTAACGAAAGCTGATGCTTGCTCTATGTTTTACGAGCGTGAATAGCCTAATCTAAAAACTACTTTCTCTAATAAAAAAAATCATTCACGTTCTCTTGACTAGGCTGTTGTAGTGAAACGTGGTTATGAAAAGGTTGAGTTGGTTGAACTCGACATAGCGACTAGAGCGGAGATACAGGTGATAAAACCAGACCCTCCAAAAACACAGACCACAAAAAGGAAAGCTGCATGACGTAGCAAAAATTCCGTCTTATAGGTATAGACCAGGGGTGGCCAGAGTGACATGGGGTTAGAGCCGCAGACAAAACTACAGAAGTTCAAAGAGCCGCAGGAAGAAAAGGAAAAGAAAAAAAAAAGAGACGAATGAAGGAGAGGAGGGTGCTTTTAGCAAGAAACGATATCAAAGGAACAGTCTTTTCCAAGGGGGTCAAGTATAATTATTGACTACAACAAAAATACCAGGCAGCAGAACGTTTCTTCAACCGCTATACAAAAATGAATGCGTGGTTCACGCCAGCCAGGCAACTGACCCTGACGCCCGTTATGCGTACACGGTTCGAAATTCTTTTTAGAACAATAAAGAAAACCGGGTCACTGGACACATCTATGTGTCGAAAAGCAGTCCAGCTGTACGTACGTATTGCAGTACAAGACCGGCCAAGACTGATATATACTACATATATATATACATGTATATATCTATGTTGTGCCTTCTGTCGTCCCCTCTCGTGTACTGCTTTCTCCTCTCCCTCTCCGAGTGAGAATCTCGGCCCTCATGTAACCCTATTCACCTTTATGTCACGCTTGAAGGAGGGTCCCCCTCCGAAACGTCTGATTAATCTATCCAAGTTTGTTTGAACCTCGGTGGCTTTTTTTACTTATATATATATATATCTATATATATATATATATATATATACTCTGATTTTTTGTTTTGTTCTTTGGGGCACAGGGGGGGAAGGGGATTACGCTTACCAGGGAGCAGCGAGCCGCATTTGAACCAACAAATGACATCACGTCACTGAGGTGACGCTGGTGTCGGCACGGCGCATGTGTAGACAGTTTACGTGACTCTGGTCCATACAAACGTTTAGCTGGTGAGACGAGAGGGCTGCTTAGGGTGCCTACATGTAGGCACCCTAGGGCTGCTAGGGGTTGTGTGCATGGAAGAACGGTAGTTGGTAAAGCCTTCCAAGGACGAGTGAACTCAGACAAGGAAAGAAAGCAAAAAAGTCTACGATGAAAGGAAGACAGCAAAAGCCGGAACCGTCTCGAACAATGGCACGTCCACCTCGACGGTCCGAAAGTAAAAAAAGATAAAAAAAAGAAAAAAAAAGAAACGACAGACAGCTGAGGACGACGTCTGTCGTTCGCTGAACGCTGCCTCAAGGGAAAAAAAAGAAAAGAAACTCATTTAGCCGTGTTTTTTGCAACTCCCGCAACTACTAGTGACGTCACGATGCCGACCCGTAGAAGATTCTACGCAGGGTGCTCTTCGAGCGCTTATTGGAGAGTAATAAAAAAATAATAGAAATAAGCCAATGAACGGAGTGCAGTCGGACATTTCACATGAATGTCCTCACGTGGTGAATTTTTCACACAAACATTTCGGGAGTGAAAATTTTTGAGGAAACGATATGCAAGAAAACACAAATTTGGTATTCGTTATGCAACGGGAGTAAAAGAAAAACGATCGTCATGGTGGACGCATTTTCCTCCCATATCGTGCCCGACATGGCCGGATCTGTTGGGTCTCCTTTAGGGTGTTCAACTCTAAAAAAAGCTTCAAAGTTATATGTGAGCAGCAGCGTCGACCTAACGGTTTGCTCCTGCTTTCCTACCGGGCGCAAATAATAATAATCAAAGAAGAAGCTTTTTGCGTTTTATTTTTTAGACATCTACAGTCACCTAATTTGAGTATGATTAAATGCACCACCTGAGACCCATTCGAGAAAAGTTTAATTCTGCTCCGTGCATTAAATTATATATACGTTTATTTTAACGCTCTAACCGCGTTTGGAAACACTAGAGAAAGCCTAATTTTGAGAGAAAGAGAGAGAGAGAGCAACACAAACAAGGGAGGGCGGTCGCAATTTAATGACGGCCACCCTCTGCACATGCTGGTTGCATGTGTGAATGCTTAGATTGTTGAGTAATGAGGAGGATAGTTGGTGTGTGTGAGTGTGTGTGTGTGTGTGTGGGGGGGGGGGGGGGGGGTAGGGCGCAAAGCTTGTAGACGCTCAACACTTTT